AAATTATTTATAATTGTACATTTATGTACTATTAGAGAATTTGCTCAATTAATTGGTAATTTAATCGCAGCGTGTCCGGCTGTCCAATATGGTTGCTTATATACAAAATTATTGGAACGTCAAAAATATCTCACACTATTAGATAATCAGAATTATGAGAGTAAATTATTATTATTACGTAGTTTTATATTTGAGGATCTTCTCTTGGTGGATCAACAACATCAAAATAACACCCCATCCAATGACAGACCAGAACTTTGAGATGGAAATTTACACTGATGCCGCACGAACCGGCTGGGGCGCGGTCTGTGAGGAAAACCGAGTTCGCGCTGGATGGTCAGTTAGTGAGCGCAATCACCAAATAAACTACTTGGAACTATTGGCAATATTTTTTGGACGAAAAAGTTTAGCTTCTAAACCAACTAACCTTCTAACCAATTGTGCGATACTATTACGAATAGATAACACTACAGCTATTAGCCACGTAAATCGCATGGGCGGAATACAATTTCCCAACTTAAATGCAATCGCTCGAAAATTTAGCAATGGTGCGAGACGCATATAACCTTTCGATCTACGCGTCTTATGTCAATACCAAAGAAAACCGAGCTGACGCCGAATCTAGTATTATAAATCCAGACACCGAGTAGGAACTCTCGGCTACTAGTTTTGAAACCATCGTTTAACATTTCGGTCACAAATCGACCTTAGAGACAGAATTCCCATGCAATAGCCGTAGACGCTTTTACCTTAAGATGGAGTGAATGTTATTTAACACCTTCCTACTATTTTCTATAATATTAATATGTCTAAGAAAAATAATAGAGGACCAAGCAATTGGGATACTTGTTTTTACATTGGGCCTCACATCCTTGATTCCCCTTATTACAAGAGTTACTAGTCTCTGACATTCTTCTCTTCCAAGCTAATAAAGATATATTACGTTCATATTTTAGACAAAACCATCCTCTCCACGCCAGCCTTACCCTGGGTGTCGCGAGGGTCTCCGGCAAGCTTTCTCCAAGAGAAGTCCACGAGAGGCCCTCGACTTCATGCTAGCATCGCTCTGTGATAGTACAGTGAACAATGTAACATTTCCTACAAGGCCTGGTGGAGTTTTTGCAAAAGAAAAGAAAAAAAAAGAATTTTAATACATACCAACAGTCTGTATTTCATCTCTTGTCCTTACCAACAATTTAAAAACGGTTGCTCTTACGAGACCCTCAACTCGCATAGATCGGCGTTATCATTATTCCTAGGAAACAACATATATAGGTAAGG